GAAAATAATATCTTTTTTTTTTTTCACAGCCTGATCAAATGTCACGCCAGCTGATTTAATCGATGCAGCAGATGTACATATTGTAAATAAAAAAATAAAAATCAAATAAATAAATCTAAAATGATGATGTTATAGAAGCACTGTTAACAGTGTTGTGACAAATAAAATCATCATCATCATCATCATGACATCATGATGTCGCAAAGAATGTTAGAACAGCTGTGTGCACATTCAGAAATTTTGTAAATTTCCATAACAAGACAATGGGCAGGTAACATCATTCACCCTGGCAGCAAGCTGTTCACACTTCTTCTCTCAGGCAGACGCCACATATCTTCATGCAACAAAAACACTAAGACATCAAAAAGATGCATATCCAACCCATATCCAGCTTGAATAGCTAGCACATCAGTTTCTTTTTTAGGATCATTCAAAATACAGTATTGAGTTTATGATTTCTGCAGCCTAAATTTTTTTTACTTTTTATGCAAATTCATGTTTTTATTTCTTATTTCTACCACTTTTATTTCCTTTCTATACAGCTAAAACTGTCAATATTGTACATAAATCACCTAAATGTATAGTTGAAGTCAGAATAATCTGATTTATTAGCCCCCCGTATATTTCCCCAATATTTGTTTAACAATTACAATTTTTTCAACATTTTTAAAAAACATAATAGTTTTTATTCTACAGCTAATCAATCTGTCAAATTCTGGAGTGCTTTACAGGTCTAAAGAAAAATATAAATGATAAATGATCCTAAATAAAGCAAATACATTTACAGATGTGGTATATAAGCATATAATTTCAATCACGTGGGAAATGGAGGCCCCCTGAATGGTTTGTAAGCACAATTAAGTGCATGCAGCATGCCATATCATCTGATAATTGTAAGAAATAATTCCAAAAAGCAACTGACTGTGTAAACACACATAAAACAACACAAAAATACAATGTATATGCTGAGTTCAGCAGCTAATAAGCAGGAATCAGCTGAGGTGACGAGACAGCGAGCAACGAGACCTAGCTGTCACTCAAGTGGCCACGCCCTTAATTATGAAGACTTAATATAAGTTAATATGAACAAAACAAACGAGTTTTGAATAAATTCACCCCCCTCACAGTTGTCATGAAGGGTAATATTAGCTAAATACACCAAAATTGTTCTTTGTACCAGGCTGTAAACACCTTTTTTTCTGCTGTAAATATGGCCATTCTAACAGTTGGGTCATTAGAAAATTGCTCTATTATTGAGCCAGGCCTAGTGGAACTTCAATGTATTGCAGTTTCAGGTATTACCATATTAGCTTCGCGAGAGAGAACGGGAGGTTGCCACTTGGTTACGGCATGCACTAAATTCCAGGGGTTTCATTACCACGACGTAAAATGGGCGTGGCTTGGTCGGCGTTTGGGAAACGCCCCCTTAAAGAAAAAAACAATACTGAGAGGTCACCGATCATGCGCAGTACATGTTCTTTTTTAGCGCGGTCATTTCAAACCGGATGATTATGGATAAAGAACCTACCGCGGTGGATAACGAAGGAAAAAAACAATCATACAGGTTATTTTTTTTTTGTTTTTATAATGTTATATTTTAAAGATTTCATTAGCAAAAACAGATGACCTCGTTTTACTCCGTTTTACTGTCTCTGGGCTTTTGTACTTCCATGGTAACGTAAACCAAGTAATAATGGTTGTGGTAAGATTAACCGTGTTTTTGTAGTTTAAAATATGGTATTCAGTCATGTTTAAACAAATAAATACCACATTTTTCTGTAATAAACCGTGGATAATTTTTCTTTCTCAATCTTAGTTAATTAACATAACTCATATTTATTTTCTATTTTTATTTAAAGTCATCATACACAAAACAACTGAGAGCAGGACAGGTATCTGATGTTAACTAATATAAAAGTGATCATACATGAAACACCTGGGATCAGGACAGGTATCTGATGTTAACTAATATAAAAGTGATCATACATGTAACCCCTGGGATCAGGACAGGTATCTGATGTTACTGTATATAATATAAAAGTGATCATGCATGAAACACCTGGGATCAGGACAGGTATCTGATGTTACTGTATATAATATAAAAGTGATCATGCATGAAACACCTGGGATCAGGACAGGTATCTGATGTTACTGTATATAAAAGTGATCATACATGAAACACCTGGGATCAGGAGAGGTATCTGATGTTACTGTATATAATATAAAAGTGATCATACATGAAACACCTGGGATCAGGACAGGTATCTGATGTTAATGTATATAATATAAAAGTGATCATACATGAAACACCTGGGATCAGGACAGGTATCTGATGTTAATGTATATAATATAAAAGTGATCATACATGAAACCCCTGAGATCAGGACAGGTATCTGATGTTACTGTATATAATATAAAAGTGATCATACATGAAACACCTGGGATCAGGACAGGTATCTGATGTTACTGTATATAATATAAAAGTGATCATACATGAAACACCTGGGATCAGGACAGGTATCTGATGTTAATGTATATAATATAAAAGTGATCATACATGAAACCCCTGAGATCAGGACAGGTATCTGATGTTAATGTATATAATATAAAAGTGATCATACATGAAACCCCTGAGATCAGGACAGGTATCTGATGTTACTGTATATAATATAAAAGTGATCATACATGAAACACCTGGGATCAGGACAGGTATCTGATGTTACTGTATATAATATAAAAGTGATCATACATGAAACACCTGGGATCAGGACAGGTATCTGATGTTAATGTATATAATATAAAAGTGATCATACATGAAACCCCTGAGATCAGGACAGGTATCTGATGTTAATGTATATAATATAAAAGTGATCATACATGAAACCCCTGAGATCAGGACAGGTATCTGATGTTACTGTATATAAAAGTGATCATACATGAAACCCCTGGGATCAGGACAGGTATCTGATGTTACTGTATATAATATAAAAGTGATCATACATGAAACCCCTGAGATCAGGACAGGTATCTGATGTTACTGTATATAAAAGTGATCATACATGAAACCCCTGAGATCAGGACAGGTATCTGATGTTAATGTATATAATATAAAAGTGATCATACATGAAACCCCTGAGATCAGGACAGGTATTTGATGTTAATATATATAAAAGTGATCATACATGAAACCCCTGAGATCAGGACAGGTATCTGATGTTACTGTATATAAAAGTGATCATACATGAACCCCTGAGATCAGGACAGGTATCTGATGTTAATGTATATAATATAAAAGTGATCATACATGAAACCCCTGAGATCAGGACAGGTATCTGATGTTACTGTATATAAAAGTGATCATACATGAAACCCCTGAGATCAGGACAGGTATCTGATGTTACTGTATATAATATAAAAGTGATCATACATGAAACCCCTGAGATCAGGACAGGTATCTGATGTTACTGTATATAAAAGTGATCATACATGAAACCCCTGGGATCAGGACAGGTATCTGATGTTACTGTTTATGATATATAAAGTATTTGACACAAAAGCCCTGGGATCGGGACAGGTATCTTAAGTTATAACAGTATTAATGTAATCTGAGAGGTAACTTAAGTTAATTTGTTTAATATAACATACACTGATTTCACATGAAACACCTGATCAGGACAGCTATTTTAAAGTACTGCATATAAAAGGCATTGGACACAAAACCCCTGCGAATACGTACAGGTATTTGAATCAAACGGCTGTTTTCACAATCTGCGCATGATCCGTGACCTATGCAAATTCACATATAGGCCACGCCCACCCGATGACGTAATAGCGGTTACGCTGTACTGAAACCCCTGGAAAAAAGTGCCTGCCACTTGGTTACAACACCCCCTTTTGAAAATAAACAATTTTATTAATTTCTCAGTGAATATATATATATATATATATATATATATATATATATATATATATATATATATATATATATATATATATATATATATATATATTATTATTATTATTTTATTTTTTTATTAGATTAGTTTCAGTTTTGACTTTGGTACTGACTAATCTAATATACACTAATATACACTAATATATTTAACTTAACAAGCATTTTTTTAATTGCATCAAGTAAACTGTCTAAAACTTCAAGTTAAATCTGTTTAACTTAAAAAAATGAATTGAAGTTAAAGTTTTTTTTACAGTGTATATGCACAAACACATTATTTTAAAGCATCCTAGAGAAAATCTGAATTAAAAGGGGTGTATTAATTTATGCTGAGCCCCATGTAGAATTTTGTTGTTAACTTTATTACTCAGATATTCAAATGTCCTTTCTGCCCTCTTGTGTTGATATGTTGTAATTTTAAAATGCTTCAAAAAAGGGGCTCATCTGTTTTTGTTTCTTTTTCTTCCTTCCTCAGTATTGCAGTCCACATGTGCATGACTGAAGATGAAGCAGGATGATTTTGAAGAGCATAGTCAACATCAATACTATTTATGCTCTAAATTGTATCATCTGCTTCTCTACATCTGAGTGATGTATTCTGGGATTAGTAAACACTGTGGCTTCATCATTTCCAAAACTAGCAGCACACCACAAGCCCATGAAAAGCATGTGACAGGGCCGCTTCCACAGCAAAAGGCATTCAATGAACATAAATATTTGGCTAAACAGTAACATCGTACAGTAACATCATGTTGATGGGTAATTTATGAAGATTTATGAAGTTTAATCAAAAGTTTTAATAACCTGAGATCCAGATTTAATGGTGAAAAAAGTTATAAAGATGACCTGACAGTGGCAAAGGTTTTTGATAGTGTACAATCTTTTGCATCAAAAAGCAGATGATATGCTTTAAAATACTAGTTTTTTATTGGATCCTGACATTCTGTAGACTTTTTTGCAGCCTAATCAGTCAAACCAACCATATTTTGAAAGCATCAACTATTTTTCAAAAAACTATAAAGACATGAAAATGATCAAACAAACTCACAGGAATTCCTGGTTGTCCATCTGATCCTGCCAATCCATCAACTCCTTTTTCACCCTGAAAGAAAACAAAATGTTCAGACGCTGTTAAAATGACAGTCATATTAAAATCAAAAGAAGCAATGCGACATCATTTTCATGACAAATTAAATGACATCCAAGCCAAAACTTTCATTACAATAATGCAAAAATATTATGTAAATTATGTTGCAAATAATTTAATTAAATCATTCACTTTATTTACTTGAAATTGGAAAAACATTTCATTTAATTAAAAAAAATATGTAAATTAATTAAAAAATAAATAAAATAAAACTAAATAAAATAAATTAATAAAATAAAATAAAATAGGTTAATTACACGGCAACAACCCCAGATGAAGCAAGGACTAAGACAAAGGTAAGTTGATTGGTAAAAAATAAAATGCAAAAATAAAATACAAAAATAAAATAAAAAATATTAAAATAATTAAATAAAATAATAAAATAAAATAAATAAAATACAACAAAATAGGTTCGATACACTGCGACAACCCCAGATGAAGCAGGGACTAAGACAAAGGAAAATTGATTGGTTAAAATAAAATAAAATAAAATAAAATTAAATTAAATTAAATTAAATTAAATTAAATTAAATTAAATTAAATTAAACAAAATTAAATTAAATTAAATTAAATAAAACAAAATAAATTGAATGAAAAAAAATAAAAATAAAAATAAATAAATAAAATTGGTTTATTACACTGCGACAACCCCAGATGAAGCAGTGACTAAGACAAAAGAAAAGTAATTGGTTTAAATAAAATTAAATTAAATTAAATTAAATTATAATAAACTTGTTCATTACACTGCGACAACCCCAGATGGAGCAGGGAAAATAGGTTATAATATAACATAATATAATATAATATAATATAATATAATGCTTTTTAGGCTATATTGGCTTTTAAGGCTTCTTTTTCTGTGACTAGTTAGCACATATTGTTTAACATCACACATATTTCTAGGAATGGGGGAAATGCGGTAAGAAAGACTGACACCGTGCCTTAAATAATCACAGTCCACTCCACTAATTGCAGATATAATTAGAGTTTTGCCGTTCCAAATTAGAGCTGCATTTTTACATGCTAATTACATAAAGAGAAATCAAGCGCTGAGAAGTTAAATATGCACACATCTTAATTGTAAAGCAAGTATGAAATGTGAGAGAGTCTGTCATTATAATCTAAACATGTTACACCCAACTGTAAAGAGAGCTTATCTAGAGACTTTTTTGCACTTTCTGAAGTCCTAAATTACAAGCCGTACACATGTGGGAATGCTGGTAAGAGATGTCCTCCTTTCCCTGTGGCTCCCCATCATATGAACTCAAAAATAGCATGTTTCTGGTTACACATGCATGCAATTTGTGCATGGTGAAACACACCTGACTGAAAATATGTAACGCACCACATTTAGCTGGCATTGGGAGTAACACCACTATACTGCCCTACTAAGGCAAACACTGATACTGCATTTTTTGCTTAAAATCTTATAGACTATGATTTATGAAGGATGTTTCTTTTGATAAACAAAAAAATATTAGCATTCAGTTGGTGAAGTTTGTTCCTCAAGACTGTCGCCACTGGCTTGCTTGGGACCTGTGGAGCTGCGCATCGATGGATTTGCTCTGGGACTTTTAGCAGTGAAAATTAAACCACGCTAAATTAACTGAACTAAACTTCAACTCTAAAAATTGGACTGACACAGTTTTAGTTTATTAGAACTTCTATGTTCAGCTGCTTTGACACAATTTACAAAAAAGCGCTATAGAAATAAATATGAATTGAATAGAATTAGTCCAAGGCACTCAAAATATAAGTGAAAGAGAAAAAAAAACTGATTAAGGAGAGACTAAGCCAAAGGAAAAGTGATTGTTTATAATAAAATCAAATAAAATAAATAATTGAATTGAAGTTTGTTTTGATAAACAAGAAATCATAAGTCCAAGGCACTCAAAAAGTGAGTAAAAATGTTAATAAGCCTTCATTAAAATGGCTTTTGTTTAAAAAAAAACAAAACAAAAAAAACAGCACTTTATAAATCATGTTTCTTTTGATAAAATAAAATAAAATAAAATAAAATAAAATAAAAAATGAACAATGTTTCTTTTGACAAACAAGAAATCAGAAATGATAAGTCCAAGGCACTCAAAAAGTGAGTGGAAATGGCCTTTATCAACATGGCTTTTGTTAAAAAATAATAATAATTATGAGTCATGTATTATTTGATAAAATAAAATAAAATTATATTTTTTTATAAAAAATAAAGCAAAATAAAATAAAATAAAGCGATCAATGTTTCTTTTGATAAACAAGAAATCATAAGTACAAGGTACTTGAGAGGTAAATGAAGAGCTTAAAAAGCTTTTATTAACATGGCTATTGTTTAAAAAAAAAACAGCACTGTTCTATTATGTTGTTTTGAAGTTGACTTTATTTTACAGATTAAACAAGAATTATTAAACATTTTCAGCAATTTTGCCTTACCAAGACCATTTATGGATATGTTTGCAGCATATTTGATTGTTCTGTGCAGTACAATAGCATTACATTTTAAACATAGCTAAATTAAATATGATTAATATAAGAATTGTTTCTTAATAAACTACTTTAATGTTGAAAATAAAATACAAGATTTTGGGTAAAATTATATCATGTTCCATTGTCATTCAGCATAACCTTAAAAATAAAATATATTAAAATATTTTTGTTTGAGTTTTACTTACTTATTTAGAAGTTGTCATTAGAAGTGAAATTGTCATGCAAGTTACGTTAGAGTTTTACTTACTTATTTTAAAAAGTTCAGCAAACTAAAGTGACGTTTTTAAAACTTATCATTTATTTGGCTGAACTTAATGGACTCAGTTTAAAAAAAAAACTTTACTTTAGTTAACTGTACTTTTATAAAATAAATAAAACTCCAGTTTTATAAATTGATCCAACAAAAAAAGCAAAGATTTATCAGTTGAGCCAACAAAAGGTTTTCTACTAATATAAATATGTAGTGTGTATTTACTTATTTATTTAAATCAAAGAATAGTGAAGGATATAGACAAAGTTTAAAGATTTAAAATGACATTACTAATTGACATTAAATTTCAGGTGTGTGAATATATATATGCAGCTAACAGGGCATTCGCTGCGTAAAACATATGCTGGATAAGTTGGCGGTTCATTCCACTGTGGCAACCCCAGATTAATAAAGGGACTAAGCCAAAAAGAAAATGAATGATTATATATATATATATATATATATATATATATATATATATATATATATATATATATATATATATATATATATATATATATATACATACACACACACACACACACACACACACACACACACTTTTCTTTCTTCTTAATATATAAAACAAATTTTACAAATTATACAAAAAAATGCTTTAAATGACAACAAGTTCATATTAAATTTTAGTCAGTTTTTATATAAAATAAAAAAATGCTTAACTTAAACATAATTATAAATCATAAATGCAGATAAACTGAGATTTTTCAGGTGGTCCCTGCAAAAATTGAGACTTTTTAGGTGGTCTCCATTATTTCTATATCAGTTAATACATATTTTAAATGTCTTATTTCTTAATTCTCTTGCTGAATTTAACAAAGCAATGTAGCATACTGTAACTGTGTGCAATATCACAAAAAAAACTCTAAAAAAAATGTGCTGTGCAGTATATTCCATTCTAGTTTTCAAATAGTCTGTATTAGAAAATGCAGAAGAAACAGTGAATTTAAAATAGTTGGATCAAATTTGCCGTGTGAATGCAAATAAAATACATGCATGCAGCCTCCATCCTGAAACTCTGACATTTGGAAAGACCTCACACAAAGCACGCTCTCGAAACATGACAAACAATAATTGCACCTTATGCCGTCGCTCTGCAATTATATCCAGGAGAAGACCAATTAAAAGGAATTTATGGGACTCCGCATGACTTTTATCTTCTTTAACCTTTTGGTGGCAGTTTTTCAGGCATGCATTGAACATGTGATGCAGGTGAAATGCAAATAATGACCACTTTGTGTTGAATTAAACTCATAATCAACGAGTTGTTTTTGGGTTCTGGGGGGCTGGGGTTTCAGTTTTCTTTTAACAGTCCATATGCATGTATGTCTGCAGGTCATGATTAAAGGCTGTTTCCAGGGCTGGCGGCAGCGGGAAACCCACCCTTACGAGAGAGCTCTCTTTTGGCATGCCACATAAAACCAAGTTTTGGTTAACTAATCATCCCTCAGAGGTCTAAGGGAAGCCTGGTACCGCTACTTTCTGTCTCAGATCCAAAGCAGGGAACACTGACAAAATGATTCATTGGATTTACTCAATTTTTTAAGGAAAGTAGTTGCAAACTATTTATTTGGGCTGAATTTAAACAAACAAATTAAGTTGAACATTCAAACATTCATTCATTTTCTTTTTGGCTTAGTCCCTTTATAAATCCGGGGTCGCCACAGCGGAATGAACCGCCAACTTATCTAGTACATGTTTTACGCAATGCATGCCCTTCCAGCTGCAACCAATCACTGGGAAACACCCATACACTCTCATTCACACACATACACTACCAACAATTTTAGCTTATACCAATTCACCTGTACCGCATGTCTTTGGACTTGTATGGGAAACCGCAGACCGTGCTTTAGATCCTCACAATGCATACACATTCAAAAACGCGCTGCATTTTCACACAATGCAAACAAATTAATTCTTGCAACACTTGCAAAAACAATGGAACACAACAGAAATGTTTCAAGGGGGGCCAAAAACGAGACGGATGCCACTGTGCCGTGACTATCGTCTGCAAAATTGCTTAGTGAAGTTGTAGGTGATGTTTGAAAGGTGTGTTTCTTTTATTTTTTCTTTTAACATCCTGATTCCCTTGTTTTAAGTATTTTATTAGCCTAAATAACTATAACCTAAATAACTGGGTCCTTCACGTTTTAGGGTCTCCTTGAAACATTTCTGTTGTGTTCTGTGTTATTTAAAAGTGTTGTAA